AGATAGATAGATAGATAGATAGATAGATAGATAGATAGATAGATAGATAGGTGATGTCACTTGGTGCGCCTCCCCTACAGTCTATAAGCACTGACATATTCAAATATTCTCCCCCTCTCCAAACTTTTTCTTTTTTTCCTCCTCGGCGCTGCCTCCAGTCAGAACACCGGGGAACGGTGGGTGTGATGCCGCTGAACGCGTGGCTGTCGGACCGCTGTCAGAGTTCTGCTGTTCCTCAACCTTAGAAGCAAACAGAAATCAAAGCCGCTGTTAAGGACTGAGGACCCTCGGTGGGAAGTGGCCGCCCGGAGCTTGTCAGCATGCGGCTCCTTCTGAGCGTCCTGTACCCGCTCCTTTCCCTCACCTTGTTCGGACTCTATCCATCCATGGTGAGTTTTTTATTGTCTGCTGTCCCGCACTTGCTCCTTCTTAATAACGCTGCTATTACGCGCATATATTTTGGAGCTTAATATTCACATAGATGCGCCATGCACGTTTTTTCTAATATAAAAAAATATATAAACTCTACTGAAACTGCTATTATAATACGACTGATGCATCATTTTTTTTTATTATTACCTCATAAGTGTCTGATTAATACAAAACAACGGGAGCTTTAAACATGGTCATCTCTAAAGTGCGTTTTCACCCTGGTTTTCTCTCACTTATATATTTCAAGTTTGAAATTTTGGTTTCGTTGCATTATCCTGATCTGCTGTGCAAACAACAGGCTGAATCCATGGCTCAGTGAGACTTAAATCTGCAAGAATGCAGCCTACTTAAAAGAAGCATATGCAACAAGCACGTCAACATTGGCTACAGCTGTTCCTTTTTTCATCTGAGGTGATGCTTCAGCTTCCAGCATACACCCTTAAACATTCCTCTGAAAGTAACAGTAAAGGTTAAATTCTGAATCCTTCTTTATCTAGTTACACTTTAAGATGCCTTATCATTATTTTTGATGGACACATTATTCTATCTTAAAAATGTTAAAATTTTACAAAAAATAATGGTCTTTGTAATCAAAAATGTACTGTACTGCTATCGAAATTAAATTAATTGCTGTAGATCTGAACTTAGAGAAAAGTGTGGCTATATTTCAATCTCTCTTGATTGAGTACAACTGTAGTATCTGATTTAGAGTCAGGGTTTTTTCAGTTAAGGTTTAAAAAAATCTACTTAATCAACATTAGGATATAGAATATTTGCACTGTGACATGCAGGTTTGTTGTATTTTTACTGTTTTCTGTAATTTACCTTTACCTCCACTGTTTTGTACAATGCCCTTGGACTTTCTGTGGATTGTGTGTCCACTCTACGTAGTCATGTCTCTGTGTCATAAACTCAGAACCCTGCACAAAAAAAAAAACACATTATGCCTTTTTGTCAGGCTTTAATGCTATTTCGAGAATTCAGCTTATTGTTTGAGTCTAACCTTGAGCGTTTTGGTTGGCAATAGAGATGCTTGTGCAGTTCTTGGCAAGGATAAACTGGAATGACAAAAACTCACGTATGATAAATCGGTAGAATACTGTGCTGCTTGGGGATCAGGGTCTCTGTGATGATAGTGCAGGAGGCTGCTGTCCACTCTGTGGTGCTGGAACACCACTGCACTTCTTTTATGCCTTTGCAGAAAACAGCTGAGACTTCAAATAATGCAGATTGATTTTTTTTTTTTTTACTTTTTCTGTTCTGAGTTTAAAGCTTCTGTTAAAATATAGCTGCTGTTTCAAAATATAGAATGAAATTATTTGATTTTAGGAACAGATGATAATCTATTAATGCATTGACATCAACCAGTGCCAGTTTTGTTACTCAGGAATGATTTCACATGTCCTCTATTGACATGCACTTTAAATTTGACTTATTAAGATGTTTTTATACTTAAGAGATAAATAAGTTTGTTGAAATGAGCTGATATGAGCTGACTCTATCGCATATAAATCACAAGTGATATGCTTAAGTTGTGTAACAAGACGTTTTAGGTAATGTTTTCCAAACCTTTATCTGAATCATTTGATATTAATTAAAATGCACGCTGATGTTTTCATGTGATTGTTGTCCAGCAATGGTGAGGCTTCTCAGTTTAAGATTATTAAAACAAATAGAAAAGAAAAATGTTTAGTGTTTGATCTATTATTCTCCGATCATGGCTAATAAAGTAAAAATTAGCTAATTACAATCTTTGGTCCTGTGATTGGTGCATTCCGACTTGTTACTGAATGTGGTTGTAGAACGCGTTCAAATCTAAAATTTCCGTAGGGTTTGTCAAGCAATCAATTATCAAAAAATAAATAAGTCGTTTTTTTTTTTTTTTTTAATCTTTTATCGGAGTCTGATAATAATTGCCAAGCTGCCATTAAGGCAAAAAAGAGACATCATTTTATCAGGAGCTGCATGCAAATCTCTTCAGCCTTTCAACCTCAGTGTTTTCGATTCATCCTAGAAGACAAACCTTTTATGGTATTATACCAAGCGGGAAATGATTAAGCTGTCAGTCTTGGGCTGTCAGACCTTGTGCAGGAGGCTTTGTTCAGGGGTGGCAGTCATTACGTCTCGGCATTTAACTGTATGTGTTTAGTATGCCCTGGTACGACCTGCATCAGCCCACCCACAAGCTTTAGTTTGGCAAGTAGGAAAACCTTTAAACTAACTGCTTTCTGAAATAAAGCAAGTATGTGTACAGCTAATGGTATAGATTTTCTTTTGTTGTGGAGAGTTAGCTTGACAGCTGTTTGCCACTGCAGTGTTCATAAAGAATCGCTTTGTGAGAAAGGATGACATATTTGCATGGTGATTTTTTCCCTTATGGTCTGGACAGCTGGGTAGTTACACAATGGCTGTTAAAGGGACCCAGTTACTATTATCATCACTGGCATAATTATTGTTTTACTATTTCACATAACACTCCTGTGCTTATAAAGACATGGTTAAAAGAGAAGGATAATCTTAATAAAGTCTAATGTTGAGGTGTGCCAAAACTTCACTGGCTCCTTTTATTCGTTTTTTTTTTTTTTTTGCTTCAATTGGTTATTATTAAAGTTAGGTAAGGTGTCCTTTATCACTCTTACACTGGGGTTTGATGACGACTTTTTAAATTTAGACCAATAGGTTTGCAATGGAACCAGCTTTGGCCACATACCTACAATGGCAAGCTCAGGCATAACGTAAAAATAATTCACAAAAGCCAGTGTGTTGGGCATCTCTAACCAAACATTTTTAAAACTAGGTGCCAGTGTGAAAATATTTCAAAACACTTTTTACATGGTTTACGTGGTTACTGCTGCTATCAGAGACAGTTGCAACACTGGCCCACCTCTAGACAAGCATGTCGTTGGGATTCTTTAAAAGACCAGACACACAATAAATACAGTTCAATACGAGCAGCTAACTTCATACAGACGCTATTAAACTACTGCTCATGTGCTGTTTAACTTCAGTTATATAACATGATTTATAGACTTCATCCTGACTATGCAATGTGATGTGCCTATTTTTTTATTATAAGTTAAAGTAATCGACTTATACTATGAAAGAGAACATCATCCTTGTTCAATGCTGTAGTGAAGTGATATAGTGATGCTGACATATTGTTTATATTGTGACCAGTCTAACTAGGGAGTACCAATATGGCGACCGGTGGCTTCACTTGAACCCTGTACTAGAGAGCGGAGATCCAGCTGGGAAAAGGGTCCCAGCGTTATCTCACACCTTGCTCTTCTAGCTGGTCCAACTGGACGTGTCGTTTTCCACAAAATAAAATTTCTTTTCTATTTTTTATGTGTCCTGTTTGCCAATATACCGCTGAGAATTGATGTCCCGGTGCTGGATAGAAGCTCAGCAGATTTGGTTTCAAGGCTGGACCATCATGGCTTGTGCCATGAGGTTCCACTTGGTTATATGTATGAAATTTTATAAGAAGTTGCTTTGGAAAAAAAAGTAAAACAAACAAACTCAAAAAAACATATGCAACAGAGACAGAAATGATGGCAAGGAAGAAAATGGAAATAATAATTAAGGGGAGAGGAAAACAGAGAGAGGGAAAGGTAGAGAGAGAAAAAAGACAGGAGAAAGAGAAAGAGAGAGTAAAGGAGATCAAGAAGAAAAGAAAGTACAGAATAACTCCAAGAAGCCTGTTTCCACATTCCACAACAAGGAAGCAACAATGAGGAAGTATCCCATGGACGCGCAATAAATGTATGTAAAAACAAACGTATACCAATGTATATAAAAGGAAAAGAAAAAACTAGGAAAATTTCACATCATTATTTCATCTTTACCCACTTGTCAGCTGGTAAGGACCTCTACAATAAGTCAAAGTAAAATATGTTAGCAGTCGCAATATTAAGCTGTCTGAAGAATAGCCCTGGCAGTAAGGAAGGGGGTAGGAAAAGGACCCTGAATGCTTCCCATCATTCTTTAGCATAGGGGCCTGCTATAGACTTGCTTATCTATAAGAAGTTCCACAAACAGTTGGAAATGGTTTGTGGGAAGGACCCCCAACAAACTGGAAAGTCCAAAGTTTATATTTGAAGTTATTTAGTGACTATTTTAAGCCACTTTTTTTTTTACAAATTAGAAAAATCACAATAATTTGTGCCAATATCTGAGAAAATTCATTATAATTAGAAATCGATCTGCAAAAAGAAAAGGAGAAGTGGTTTATAAAAGAGGTAAGACAACATGCAGCGTCATTATTATCTTCTAACCATTTTAGGTGATGTGGGAAACCAGTAAGATTCTACAAAGAAAAACAAAATTCTTTGAATTAAATTACCTGAGAGAATTTCAATATGTCATCATTGAAATTTGATTGAGCTTCACCATCCATCTCAGGAGTCTTAACAGCTTGATGTGCAAGGTTAACAAGTTTACTTGCCATATAAATCTCATATTTTACAATGCTTTTGTGGATTTTTCTGAGAAAACCTGGTTGTCTTTGTTGGTTTACCACTTCTGTTCTAGTGCTTGGCTAAAAGGTGAAAATGGTGTAGATGGAAAATCTAAAAAAGAAAAATGTTGCAGGTACCCCAAAAAATAGCATATTTGGAAAAAACCTCTGATATAAAGCTTACACAAATTTTTTCGACAAATCTATTATTTCCAGCACTGTTTTCAACAAAAACAGGGTTGTTTTTTTTGTTGTTTTTTTTTTAAACAATGCATGCTCATAAAAAGTTAAACCCAACCAAAACTTGGAGGAAAAGAAAATTCAGATGGAATGCTTAGTATGAATTTAAAAAAATATAAAAAATAACAAAAAATACTCAGCTGAGTTAGATGTACTGTACATCCTTGTGGTATATGTTGAAAAGACTAACAGACACTTTCTGTTGACCTTTTACTTCTAAACAGAAATCTGATGATATAATGCACATATTTTAATCAA